CTAAGGCCGCGCGGAGCCGCTTTGAAAGGGCTCGCCGGCCAATCCAAAACAAACAGCCACGGACCCATGGTGCACTGCTTGGGAGCGCCGGATTGGCTCCCAGGCACCAGCAGCCTCCATCCCATTAATGAAACGAGCGGAAGCTCGTTAAATCTATGGGGGTTGCTGGTTCGATATTTTTAAACCCTTCCGGGTTTGAAAATGTGTTTTGATATCGCTTCGTAAATGCTAAAAATAACGAATTAATAACGAATTACAAAATTAACGAACGAAACCGCACAGGCCTAGTAGATATATCTTACAAAGTAGCCAACTATGAGGAGCGGCTTAAGGAGCTGGGCATCTTTAGCCTGAAGAGGAAGTCACAGGGAGGGGGAAGCAAGCTTGTTTTCTGCTTCCTTGGAGACTAGGACAAGGAACAATGGCTTCAAACTACAAGAAAGGAGATTCCATCTGAACACGAGGAAGAACTTCCTGACTGTGAGAGCTGTTCAGCAGTGGAACTCTCTGCCCCGGAGTGTGGTGGAGGCTCCTTCTTTGGAAGCTTTTAAACAGAGGCTGGATGGCTAATCTGGGGGAGAAGGTGTGTCAACCAGTTCTGGATGGGGTTACACTCCCCCTGAAAGACTGTGTTCACAACTTGGGAGTTCTCCTGGATCCATCTCTCCAAATGTCAGCCCAAGTTGATGCAACACTCAGCTAATATGCCAACAGTGCCTCCTCCCAAATTTGAAGGACCTAAAGATGGTAGTACACACACTGCTAACCTTAATTGGGCTACATCTCCACTGGTTGACAGTTAGCTCCCAGATCCATCTCTCCAAATGTCGGTCTAAGTTGATACAAAGCTCATGAGTGTTCACTATCAGCTTCAACTGATATACCAGTTGTGTCTCTTCCCAAATTTGGAGGACCTAAAGATGGTAGTACACCCACTGCTAACCTTAAGGTGCTCTACATTGGGCTACATCTCCACTGGTTGACAGTTAACTTTGGGGCAAAGTACAAAGTGTTGGTTTTGATTATTATTATTATTATTATTATTATTATTATTATTATTATTATTATTATTATATAAATAAAAATGTAATGTTCGTTTCTGGGATTAACAGAAGTCAAAAACCACTGGACGAATTGACACTAAATTTGGACACAAGACACCTAATAAACCAATGTATCAGAAAAATGGATTTAGTCATTTGGGAGTTGTAATTGCTGGGATTTATAGTTCACCTACAATCAAAGAGCATTCCAAACCCCACCAACGATGAAATTGAACCAAACTTGGCACATAGAACTCCCATAAACAACAGATAATACTGGAAGGGTTTGGTGGGAAGTGTCCTTCGGTTTTGGAGTTGTAGTTCACCTACATCCAAAGAGCACTGTGGACTCAAACAATGATGGATCTGGACCAAACTCTACACAAATACTCAATATGCCCAAATGTGAACAGTGGTGGAGTTTGGGGAAAATAGAATCTTGACATTTGGGAGTTGTAGTTCCTGGGATTTGTAGTTCACCTACAATCACAGAGCATTCTGAACCCCACCAACGATAGAATTGGGCCAAACCTCCCACACAGAACCCCCATGACCACCAGAGTGGGTCACAGCAACGCGTGGCAGGGGACGGCTAGTTATTTGTAAATGTGTATGTTAGAGCAATGAGCAATCTCAATAAAATAGTGAAGAGTAGAGACATCGCACTGGCAACGAAGATCTGCGTAGTTAAAGCAATGGTATTCCCCGTAGTCACCTATGGATGTGAGAGCTGGACCATAAGGAAGGCTGAGTGAAGGAAGATAGACACTTTTGAACTGTGGTGTTGGAGGAAAGTTCTGGACAGCAAGAAGATCCAACCAGTCCATACTTCAGGAAATAAAGCCCGACTGCTCATTGGAGGGAAGGATAGTAGAGGCAAAGATGAAGTACTTTGGTTACATCATGAGAAGGAAAGCTTGGAGAAGACAATGATGCTGGGGAAAATGTGTCAACCAAGGGGCCAACCAAGGCCAACCAAGGGCAAGATGGTTGGATGGTGTCCTTGAAGTGACTGGCTTGACCTTGAAGGAGCTGGGGTGCTGACGGCCGACAGGGAGCTCTGGTGTGGGCTGGTCCATGAGGTCACAAAGAGTCTGAAGCAACTGAACGAATGAACAACAACATATATGTATGTTATTCTGTCCTATGTTGACAAAGATGGATCACAGATCCTTGGACATTCAGGCAGATGCAGTTGAGTTGGTTGGTCCAACTCTCAAATTGTATCTGCTGCACCAATAGATTTCTGAATCTGTATCAAAGCTGATTCAAAGAGATGTAGACAGATGTGATATCAGTAGACACAGGTGTTGCTCATGTCAGCATGATTCGAGAAGGAACAAGAGACATGTTGATATTGAGGTAAGCTTTTATTATCTCCCATGCATTACAATGGAGATGGAAAACAGAATTAGCAAGGGATTCTTATTCATTCCCTTCCACCACAAAGATACACAAAACATAACTTATTTTGGAGTAGTCCACTGTGCATTAATTATGAGAAACATTCAAATCATAAAATGCCATTGAAGAGAAGCACCAGGTAGGCAACATGCAGGAGATCATCAGCTGGAAAGGACATTGTCAGAACATGACAACCAGCTGGTTGAGGGACATCTGCTTTCTCACATGTTACTTGCAGGAAGGGGGCAGTGAGGTAACCTGCTTGGTTTGCCCTAAGCAAGGTGGAATAACAAGGGGAACCTTGACCTGGGAAGAGCCACCACTTCCAACAACAACGGAAGCCCCACTAGATGTACCACCACAGCAGCCTCCACTGCTTCCTCCACTCACAACAATGGTTTGCCCACCGGAACCTCCTCCACAAACGGGGGAGACTCTACCAGATCCTCCTCCAATAACCTTGACACCCCCACCTGATACACCACCTCCACAAACGGGGGAGACTCTACCTGATCCCCCACCAACAACCTTGACACCTCCACCTGATACACCACCTCCACAAATGGGGGAGACTCTACCAGATCCCCCGCCTACAACCTTGACACCTCCACCTGATACACCACCCCCATAAACAGGGGAGATTCTACCAGATCCACCACCAATAACCTTAACACCCCCATCTGATATACCACCTCCACAGATGGATCCTCCTCCACAAGACCCTCCACCTATAACCTTAACACCCCCACCTGATACTCCACCTCCACAGATGGATCCTCCTCCACCAGATCCTCCACCTATAACCTTAACACCCCCACCTGATACACCACCTCCATAAACAGGGGAGATTCTACCAGATCCCCCACCAATAACCTTTACACCCCCACCTGATACACCACCTCCACAGATGGATCCTCCTCCACCAGATCCCCCACCAATAACCTTTACACCCCCACTTGATACACCGCCTCCATAAACAGGGGAGACTCTACCAGATCCCCCACCAATAACCTTCACACCCCCACCTGATACACCACCTCCATAAACAGGGGAGACTCTACCAGATCCACCCCCAATAACCTTGACACCACCAACACCAGAATCTCCACTGCAACAGCCAGATGCACCACTGATTCCACTTGCAATAACGTGCTGTCCGCCTGAGCTTCCACCACCATAACATCCCCCACTGCCACCACTCACAGGTACAGGTACAATGATGGATTGTCCACCTACTCCACCCCCACTGCCCCCTCCACAGCCAAAGCCTCCAGATCCAAAACCACCATCAATCAGTGGAATCTTTTGCTGGCTCATCCCACCGCCGTATCCCCCTCCAACGCAGCATCCAGAAGACTGGCCACCAACACCTGCTGGTATAATGACAGTTCCACCGGAGCTTCCACCGCTGCAGCAGCCAGAGCTTCGGATTTGTTGGATCCCTCCACTGCTGCCACAGCAGGAAGACCCTTGGCCTCCCGACACAATGACAACACCTTGTCCTGATCCACTTCCACTAGAGCAGCAAGATCCTCCTCCTCCGGAGATCTGGGCAATTCCAAGAGAAGAGCCTCCACAGCCACTGCCACGTCGGCCACAAGATGATCCTCCGGAGACTTGGGCAATTCCAAGAGAAGAGCCTCCACAGCCACTGCCACGACGGCCACAAGATGATCCTCCGGAGACTTGGGCAATTCCAATAGAAGAGCCTCCACAGCATGAACTACCGCTGCCGCTGCCACGACGGCCACAAGATGAACCTCCACCAGAAGAGCCTCCACAGCATGAACTGCCGCTGCCGCTGCCACGACGTCCACAACCAGGCGATCCTCTGCTGGATCCACAGCAGCCACTTTGTCTTTGCTGGCTCATCTTTCCAGGAGTCTGGGGTAGTTGTCTGGTGAAGGTAAGTTCTGAAAGAGAGCGAAGAAACAAGTTGTAAGACATCATAATAGGCAAAGTTACATGCATAATTCCTTGAGATCTCATCAAGGAACCCATGAAGGAACCCAAAACAATACTCTACATATAATTCCTTGAGCTCTCATCAAGGAACCCATGAAGGAACCAATACTCTACATAAATCATCTTGCACTGCTATGGTGGCCCATATACTAATGCATGAATTGGTGGACCATTGACCAGTAGAGTTCCATAGGCTGATCTGGTCAATGAAGTGATAGTGGATGAAAGTGATGATCCATAGTAGTCCATGAAGTAAAGGGGTGAAGGAAAGTGATCCATAGACCAGTATAGTCCATAGAGCAGGGGTAGGGAACCTTTGGCCCTCCAGCTGTGGTGGACTTCAACTCCCACAATTCCTTGAGGCTCGGAATTCGCCCCAAAGGCTTACCTTGGCCCAATGCCGAGCCTCAAGGAATTGTGGGAGTTGAAGTCCACCACAGCTGGAGGGCCAAAGGTTCCCTACCCCTGCCATAGAGTGATGGTAGACCAAAATGTTGGTCCATAGATCAAACCAGTAGTGATCCGTGAAGCATTGCGGTGCACCATAGACCAGTGTGGTCCAGGAAATGGGTCATAGTGATGGAACATAGACCAGTAGTAGTCCATGAAGTAAAGGGATGAAGGAAAGTGATCGGTAGACCAATATAATCCATGGAGTGATGGTAGACCAAAATGTTGGTCCATACATCAAACCAGCAGTGCTCCATGAAGCATTGCAGTGCACCATAGACCAGTGTGGTCCATGAAATGGGTCATAGTGATGGAACATAGACCAGTAGCAGTCCATGAAGTAAAGGGATGAAGAAAAATGATCCGTAGACCAGTATAGTCCATGGAATGATGGTGGACCAAAACTTTGGTCCATAGATCAAACCAGTAGTGGTCCATGAAGCATTGCAGTGCACCATAAACCAGTGTGGTCCATGAAATGGGTCATAGTGATGGAACATAGACCAGTACTAGTCCATGAAGTTAAGGGATGAAGGAAAGTGATCCGTAGACCAGAATAGTCCATGGAATGATGGTAGACCAAAACGTTGGTCCATACATCAAACCAGTAGTGGTCCATGAAGCATTGCAGTGCACCATAGACCTGTGAGGTCCATGAAATGGGTCATAGTGATGGAACATAGACCAGTAGTAGTCCATGAAGGAAAGTGATCCATAGACCAGTATAGTCCATGGAATGATAGTGGGCCAAAATGTTGGTCCATAGATCAAACCAGTAGTGCTCCATGAAAGCACTGCAGTGCACCATAGACCAGTGTGGACCATGAAATGGGTCATAGTAATGGAACATAGACCAGTAGTAGTCCATGAAGGAAAGTGATCCGTAGACCAGTATAGTCCATGGAATGATGGTGGACCAAAATGTCTCATCTTCAGTAGTGCTCCATGAAAGCACCATAGACCAGTGTGGTCCATGAAATGGGTCATAGTAATGGAACATAGACCAGTAGTAGTCCATGAAGCACCAGGAAAGATAGATAATAAAATAATAATGGCAACCAACAGTCAAAAATATGGTAACCTTTCCTGCAACACTGGGGAAAGTTGCTGGTCCCTCACACCAGATATCTTGGAGAACATGAATCCAACATACCTGTTAGGAAAGACTTTTCTTAAGCTTCTCTCTTCTGTAGTTGGTTCCTATGAATGAGTTTGTTCCTCAAAGGGAGCCTCCCTCTTCATATTTGTAGTAGATCCCCCACACCCTATTCGTAACTACAACTCAATTGTCTATCTTTTGTGCTAAGGAAGTGCAATCCCAATTGGATTTGCGGTTGCAAATTGGCCGTGTGAACCCTTGATGTGGTCTAGAGAGATATAGGTCAGATAATGGTTTAGGAGGCACCTGGGATGGTTCTAGCTGAGCGAGTTTGGCCCGGTGTAATAGATGAATGTGTGCCCTCACTGACAACAGTTTGGCTGAGGAATGCTTGCCTGTCAGATTCATCCTTTAATTATCCTAAAGGATTAAAAAATTAAGGGAGTGGTTGACGTCTCATCTTCTGTTTAGTTCTGGTTGTCATTCAGATGTGAGGGAGGGAACTCCTTCATTCAGCTCCTATGAACTTAACTGCTCACATACGGCCCTTGAAAACGTTGACTCCGTACCCAACATGGCACACCCCCCCCCACCACCACCACCACTGAAGATGCCAGTTGACCAACTGGTTGCCTTCCATGAAACATAAATGGAAAAAACTCCATGAGAACCTTCTACCTCTAGAGCAGGGATCCAGAGGGTGTTGGACTACAACTCCCATCGTGTTTGACTGAGGTTGATTGGCAAGCATCAAGATCTGGACAGCCACAGATTTGTGAGAACGTCTCTACCGCTCCCTCTGAAAGAATTCCCACGAAAACCTTCTACCTCTAGAGCAGTGATCCAGAGGGTGTTGGACTACAACTCCCATTGTGCTTTGAGGTTGATCAGCAAGCATCAAGATCTGGACAGCCACAGATTTGTGAGAACTTCTCTACCCCTCCCTCTGAAACAATTCCCAAGAAAACCTTCTACCTCTAGAGCAGGGATCCAGAGGGTGTTGGACTACAACTCCCATCGTGCTTGACTGAGGTTGATTGGCAAGCATCAAGATCTGGACGGCCACAGATTTGTGAGAACTTCTCTACCCCTCCCTCCGAAAGAATTCCCATGAAAACCTTCTACCTCTAGAGCAAGGATCCAGAGGGTGTTGGACTACAACTCCCATCGTGCTTGACTGAGGTTGATTGGCAAGCATCAAGATCTGGACTCCCATCGTGCTTGACTGAGGTTGATCGGCAAGCATCAAGATCTGGACAGCCACAGATTTGTGAGAACTTCTCTACCCCTCCCTCTGAAAGAATTCCCACGAAAACCTTCCACCTCTAGAGCAGGGATCCAGAGGGTGTTGGACTACAACTCCCATCGTGCTTGACTGAGGTTGATCGGCAAGCATCAAGATCTGGACAGCCACCGATTTGTGAGAACCTCTCTACCCCTCCCTCTGAAAGACTTTAAGAGCTAATCCCAGTGTCCAAGTGTCAACCTCTTGCAAAATTACGGCACTTCACAATGACGTGATCTTGGCAACGAGGCCAACCGTTCCTCGATGAAAACAAAAGAAGAAGAAGAGCTTGAAGCACCACAGCTTGGTCTTACCTCCTTGAACGGATGTGTCAAGAGCGAAGAAGTCCCAAGGGAGCGAATGTCGAACTGGGAGACCACAATGCTTTTTATACGGCTCTTGGCCTCTCCCACGGGAAGTGAGACACCCCCAGGAATGGTAAGTGACATAGTTCGGATCTCTCTAACAACTGGCTTCATGGAACCTGAGATGCCTCATAAGTCATGTGAGATCCCTATCTCTCCCTCCTCTTTTTTTCCCTCAGGTATTGCTTAGGACATCATGGAACATAAACATCTTAATGAGGTGCTCCACCTAATAGGTCAATTCCTTTCTCGATGCTTCATTGACGTTCCTCAAGTGATGGTTAGGAATCAATGGAGGGGCTTCCAGTGGACTATGCCATCCCCTGCCACGTGTTGCTGTGGCCCACTCTGGTGGTTATGGGGGTTCTGTGTGGGAGGTTTGGCCCAATTCTATTGTTGATGGGGTTCACAATGCTCTGTGATTGTAGGTGAACTATAAATCCCAGCAACTACAACTCCCAAATGTCAAGATTATATTTTCCCCAAACTCCACCAATGTTCACATTTGGGCATATTGAGTATTCGTGTAGAGTTTGGTCCAGATCCATCCTTGTTTGAGTCCACAGTGCTCTCTGGATGTAGGTGAACTACAACTCCAAAACTAAAGGACACTGCCCATCAAACCCTTCCAGTATTTTCTGTTCATCTTGGGAGAACTCTGTGCCAAGTTTGGTTCGATTCCATCGTTGGTGGGGTTCAGAATGCTCTTTGATTGTAGGTGAACTATAAATCCCAGCAACTACAACTCCCAAATGACAAAATCAATTTTTTTGAGTGAAGGACATACATTGGGTTGTTAGGTGTCTTATGTCCAAATTTGGTGTGAATTCGTCCAGTGGTTTTTGAGTTCTGTGAATACCACAAACGAACATTACATTTTTATTTTTATTTATATCTATATAAATAAAAATGTAATGTTAGTTCGTGCTACCATCAGAACTCAAAAACCATTGGGGGAATTGACACCAAATTTGGACACAAGTCACCTAACAGTCCAATTTATGTCCTCCACTCAACAAAATTGATTTTGTCATTTGGTAATTGTTGTTGCTGGGATGCATAGTTCACCTACAATCAAAGAGCATTCTGAACCCCACCAGTGATGGAATCGAACCAAGCTTGGCACACAGAACTCCCATGACCAACAGAAAATACTGGAAGGGTTTGATGGGCAGTGTCCTTGAGTTTTGGAGTTGTAGTTCACCTACATCAGAGAGGACTGTGGACTCAAACAATGATAAATCTGGACCAAACTTAGCACGAGCACTCAATATGTTGAGTGTTCTCAAATGTGGACTCTGGTGGAGTTTGGGGAAAACAGACCTTGACATTTGGGAGTTGTAGTTGCTGGGATTTATAGTTCACCTAAAATCAAAGAGCATTCTGAACCCCACCAATGATAGAATTAGGCCAGACTTCCCACACAGAACCCCCATGACCAACAGAAAATACTGTGTTTTCTGATGGTCTTTGGTGACCCCTCCGACACCACCTTGTGACCCCCACAGGAGTCCCGACCCCCAGGTTGAGAAATACTGCTCTAGAGAAAGCTCACGTGGACATTGACAGAAGTTGAGCCCAAACATCAGTGGTCATACTCTTCTATTGTTCCCACCTTCTAATTTTCTGAATTTTCTGTAGCATTGCTATTACGGTGTGGGCTGTAGACTCTTTGTTGGTCTAGGAAACCACAACAGATTTTTCCTATTCATATATTAAAACATTTGGTCCGGAATTTTTAGTGCTAATAGGATTCATTATGGGGATTAAGTTCTCTCTCATTCTCTCTTGTTGTCTTGAAAATTCACCCACCAACGAATGTTTTCTTATATATCGGGATTAACATAACTTACCCGCCAACGAATGTTTTCTTATATATTAGCAGAAAGGCTGGGTAAAAACTATTACTACTACTACTACTACTACTACTATTACTACGGTATTAGTGGATTTTCACTTATGGTGGGTGGTCACGATAAGTGAGGGAACACTGTATTATTATTATTATACTGTTTATTATTATTAACTGATTATTATTATTATTATTATTACTGCAACTACTACTACCAACTAATGTTTTGTTTTCTTATATATCGGGAGAAAGGCTGGATAAAAACTATTACTACTACTACTACTACTATTACTATTACTATGGTACAAGTAGAGGAGCGTCCCTACTTTGCGGACTTTCACTTATGGTGGATGGTCCTGGAATGTAACACCCGCGATAAGTGAAGGAACACTGTACTACTGCAACTACTACTATTTATTTATTTATTTATTTATCTATATAAATAAAAATGTAATGTTCGTTTGTGGGATTAACATAACTCACCCACCAACGAATGTTTTCTTATATATCGGGAGAAAGGCTGGATAAAAACTACTACTACTACTACTACTACTATTACTATGGTACTAGTGGAGGAGCGTCCCTACTTTGCGGATTTTCACTTATGGTGGGTGGTCCTGGAACTTAACACCCACAATAAGTGAGGGAACAATGTATTACTGCAACTACTACTACTACTACTACTATTATTACGGTACTAGTGGAGGAGCATCCCTACTTTGAGGATTTTCAGTTATGGTGGGTGATCCTGGAACACTGGGGACACTGTACTACTGCAACTACTACAATTTATGTATTTATTTATCCATATAAATAAAAATGTAATGTTAGTTTGTGGGATTAACATAACTCAACCACCAACGAATGTTTTCTTATATATCGGGAGAAAGGCTGGATAAAAACTATTACTACTACTACTACTATTACTACGGTACTAGTGGATTTTCACTTATGGTGGGTGGTCCTGGAACGTAACACCCGTGATAAGTGAGGGAACACTGTATTATTATTATACACTGTTTATTATTATACACTGTTTATTATTATTATTATTATTATTATTATTATTATTATTATTACTGCAACTACTACTATTTATTTATTTACCTATATAAATAAAAATGTAATGTTCGTTTGTGGGATTAACATAACTCACCCACCAACGAATGTTTTCTTATATATCGGGAGAAAGGCTGGATAAAAACTACTACTACTACTACTACTACTACTACTATTACTATGGTACTAGTGGAGGAGCGTCCCTACTTTGCGGATTTTCACTTATGGTGGGTGGTCCTGGAACKTAACACCCACAATAAGTGAGGGAACAATGTATTACTGCAACTACTACTACTACTACTACTATTATTACGGTACTAGTGGAGGAGCATCCCTACTTTGAGGATTTTCAGTTATGGTGGGTGATCCTGGAACGTAACACCCGCGATAAGTGAGGGGACACTGTACTACTGCAACTACTACAATTTATGTATTTATTTATCCATATAAATAAAAATGTAATGTTAGTTTGTGGGATTAACATAACTCAACCACCAACAAATGTTTTCTTATATATCGGGAGAAAGGCTGGATAAAAACTATTACTACTACTACTACTACTATTACTACGGTACTAGTGGATTTTCCCTTATGGTGGGTGGTCCTGGAACGTAACACCCGTGATAAGTAAGGGAACACTGTATTATTATTATACACTGTTTATTATTATACACTGTTTATTATTATTATTATTATTATTATTATTATTATTATTATTATTATTATTACTGCAACTACTACTATTTATTTATTTACCTATATAAATAAAAATGTAATGTTCGTTTGTGGGATTAACATAACTCACCCACCAACTAATGTTTTCTTATATATCGGGAGAAAGGCTGGATAAAAACTACTACTACTACTACTACTACTACTACAGTACTAGTGGATTTTCCCTTATGGTGGGTGGTCCTGGAACGTAACACCTGTGATAAGTGAGGGAACACTGTATTATTATTATTAACTGTTTATTATTATTATTATTATTATTATTATTATTATTATTATTGCAACTACTACTATTTATTTATTTACCTATATAAATAAAAATGTAATGTTCGTTAGTGGGATTAACATAACTCAACCACCAACAAATGTTTTCTTATATATCGGGAGAAAAGCTGGATAAAATCTATTACTACTACTACTACTACTATTTATTTATTTATCTATATAAATAAAAATGTAATGTTCGTTTGTGGGATTAACATAACTCAACCGCCAACTAATATTTTCTTATATATCGGGAGAAAGGCTGGATAAAAATTACTACTACTGCTACTACTACTACGGTACTAGTGGAGGAACGTTCCTACTTTGTGGATTTTCTCTTATGGTGGGTGGTCCTGGAATGTAACACCCACAATAAGTGAGGGAACACTGTATTACTGCAACTACTAGTATTTATTTATTCATCTATATAAATAAAAATGTAATGTTCATTTGTGGGATTAACATAACTCACCCGCCAACTAATGTTTGCTTATATATCGGGAGAAAGGCTAGATAAAAACTATTACTACTACTACTACTACTACTATGGTACTAGTGGAGGAGCATCCTTACTTTGCGGATTTTCACTTATGGTGGGTGATCCTGGAACGTAACACCTGCGATAAGTGAAGGAACACTATACTACTGCAACTACTATCTATCTATCTATCTATCTATCTATCTATCTATCTATCTATCTATCTATCTATCATCTATCTATCTATCTATCTATGTATCTATCTGTCTGTCTATCTATCTATCTATCTATCTATCTATCTATCTATCTATCTATCTATCATCTATCTATCTATCTATCTATCTATCTATCTATGTATCTATCTGTCTATCTATCTATCTATCTATCTATCTATCATCTATCTATCTATCTATCTATCTATCTATCTATCTATCTATGTATCTATCTATCTATCATCTATCTTTCTATCTATCTATCTATCTATCTATCTATCTATCTATCTATCTATCTATGTATCTAGATAAAAATGTAATGTTCGTTTGTGAGATTAACATAACTCAAAAGCCACTGGACAAATGGACACCAAATTTGGACACAATTCACCTGTCAGGCCAAGGAGTGACCATCACTCAAAAAATTGATTTTGTCATTTGGGAGTTGTAGTTGCTGG